TTTACTCTTCTTGACACCTGACCCAGGTGGGAGAGTGAGATGCTGCGCAAGTCTACGATCACCATAAATTAAATCACGCGCAAGTCACCATCCTTGTGCACATCATGCTGTGGATCACATGGTAGACACAGTTGGAAACGACGGTTGAATGTTCGTAGCTATTAGTTCAGGGATGGGAGGAGGGCAGAGCTTGCTAACTCCGAGTAGACTGCGTGAACCGCAGTTCTGCTGTAAATGTCTCGAGTAAATCCCGCATATAACGTTACTACTGATTGATGCTAAGTAGGTTGTTTTATATTTGTAAAAAGCAGAAAATGCCAGATTCGCAGTTTTGGCAACCACAAGAAACAGAGATGACAATGGAAGTAAGGCAATTTTACAATGAGGTGCAACAACACGAGACAGCCATACCAACGGACCTAACATGCAGCATAAGAGGCTGAATTTTGATGCAGTTGTAAGGTCAGGTAAGCCCGTTGCCGGCTATGTGTGTTGTATTTAAGCCTCAAACGCGTTAAACGATAGAAAATGAGTACGATGTTGGTGTCCTTTACTTCGACTTTTTGCCTGGCCGCATGCTCTTGAGGGGATTTTTTCGACCGCGTGGATCTCGATCACCAGCTTGGGAGGGCGAGCCCATTAACGGAGCCAACTTCGGCTGGGATTGGCTGCTTCCTTCCGTTAGAATGTCCGGATGAGGGATCCAATCCTCGACCTCCATTAGGGATTCGGGCTTAAAAAGTCAAAAAGAATACACAACAGGTATACAAACAAAAAGTCTAAGGTTAATGAGGGCAGTATCAATGGCTTCTGGAGTCTGCCTGCTAGACAGAATCTTCCTAAGTGGATTACAGATAATAAAAAATAACTATATGATGAATTGGTCAACGCTTCCAGCTAAATGAAATGTCTCAGAAACCAACAACAGAAAATTAGCAATATCAGACTAAATCAAGCCAATTTGTGGGAGCGAAAAGTTTTAAACGAGAGTTCTCGATAAACAGAGGTCTCGGATTTGATTCCCGACATAATTCATGACATAATTCATTTTTGATTTTCGTTTCGCGTGAGCTCCACACAGGGACTCCCGGGCCCTTTAAATGACCAGCACGTAATTGTATCTACGGTTTCGATTCTTCAAAGGCAGTTTGGTCCGAGTAGCCGACGAAAAAAAACAGGCAAGAAGCCTAGTTTGGAAGTAACCAATTATCCAGAGCCTCGACCCAGAAGAATATGCTCCCGTTCGATTGGAATAATTATTTGGCGGAATTCAGTAAACTGATGCAGGGTAAAAACAGCTCAAGAGGGCCTCCCCACGTGCTAGTCGGTGAAAAGCCGAATTTTCCGTTAAAGTCAAATGAATGGCAAACTGGGTTCCTCCTTCCCTTGGTACTACTATCTGGCTGTCTGAAAAGGCCAAAGAAGCAGATTATTTTCTTACATTGTGCCACTAGCAAACTGGCTGTTTAAACACTAGTAAACCTGTTGTTTTTTTTTACCACTTTCAGCATATCAGCTGACTCGTCGAAATGGTTTTTGAAGCAGACGATTTCGTGAGTCACCACACAGTAGGAACCAGGTTCGCATCTGTAAACTAGTGTCGTTTAGAGCCAAACATAACCGATTCCAACAAGCACTGCGAGGAAGACGAAAGTTATGAGTCAGTCACTACCAATGGGAGAAGAGGTCTATAGCCCCACGCGAACTAGAACTACAGTGAGACTACCTAACGGCAGAATTCGTCATTAATCTCATCCTTAGCCTGCATTCTTCGAAATACAGTTCAGGACGTCTTCTAAATAGGATGGAGCCATGCCTTGGGTCAGCATGCTGAAAACTCAAATAGGTATTCTGCCGCTGGACCATTGTCCTCCGTTGGCGATACAATTTCACATGCAACAATGATAGCCAGAGACGGTAACTGTCAAGGGTCTCTACTTATCGCATATTAACAGCACAACTGGGCTATTTTTCGCAGCAGTTGAACAGAGTAGCTTTGATTGCAGCCATAAGCACACAGATCCATTCTTCCAGCACTTTGAGAAGCGGCAGAATACAAGGTAGTGACTGAGGACAGCATTCACAACGTTGAAATAGCCCTCCGAATTGTAACCTCTGTATATGTCTCTGAATTGTCGCATTGTGCCCCCCAAATGGGCCGCGGGATAGATGCACCGACTAACATGGGAGCCAGATCAGGGTAAAACAGACGTTATTCAGGTTGAGCTCCGATAAAAAAAATTTCGAACATGTGGGGGGTGTGGTAGCACGCATAGATGCGACTTCGGCCGCGCCAGCCACCTGCGCCCAATATCGCCTCCGGCTTTGTTGACTCTGTCCGACACCGAGAACAATTGGGTGAGGAAAGAGAGGATGCGGTAGTAGCTGCGAAAGTCTACTATCATTTAAAACAAATTCACGCTCAAGTAACCGTGTTTACCTTCAGCTTGCTAAAGCACGCAGTGGACATGGTCGAAACTGACGGTCGAACTGTCGGATAAGTGAAAAATCACCTCCGACAAAATGGTCACTTGGGACGGGACAGTTTCAATTTCCTTGCGCTTTTTCATATTTTTTGTGGTCCCAAGTACCGAGAAGACATTCAACTATCAACTAACCAAAATACTACAGTAGGTTGCCAAACTCATGCAATCCTACGATTTTTTAAAGTAACTCCCTCTTACTCAAACGCAGCCCAAGCTGTGGCCCCCAAAGTCT